AAGTCCTTCAGACAATTGTCTAGCTCTTTGGAGATCTTATAAATTATTATCAATTTGATGACATTTTGTACACATAAAACTACTTTCAAATAAAAAATATATTATCAATGTTGGGGTTATACACCTTTGTGTGTAAATATGTGGTCTTCTCTACAGTATAAAAGTCCTTTAGTTTGTTGCTATTTTAGCAATTATATAAAAATAGCTTTCATTTGATTAAAATATTGATGCAATTCAAACAGACGGATAAGTTTACCGAAAAACAAAATCCAATCAACAAATGTATTTGTAATTAATTCAATATTAACGTCAAATTGATAGATGTACATGTACATATTTATTGATCAATTTTACCATAAAGTATACAAAATTCTATCATAAATATAAAATTTCATAGATTTTCCAAATTGTGATTATTTTCATAATGTTTTGAAACAAAAAACTTCACTTTTCATTTCATTTGCTTAATATGTTTTTATATCTAATTTAAGGGGAACTGGATGCCTGTGCATAGAGTTGCTGTGAGACAAGAATCTATGGATTATATGAGTTATCCATCATTTAGGAAGTGTTTTGAAGCAAATAATGTCTGAATGCACGCAAAGCGTCGACACAAATGCAATGTCTATGCGATGAAAACTCTTCGTCTCAAGACTGAAATGTCTGGAAAATAGTGTTGTTTTTTAGTAAACACTTAGAGGACGACTAAAATGAAAGAATGAGACTATAAATCGTGTGATAGTTTATGATTCCCAATAGATGTTGAGGTAAAATGAGCGCACATTGCAATCAGCAGATGGACTGGCGTTGCGTTCAGGCCTTACATATGGTTTAGAGATGTGTTTAGAATAGAGAAAAATGCACTTCAATTGCAGATCAGAATAAAACTATGAGATCCCTAAAGACTATATCAGTGTTGAGTACATACGAGATATAAATTTTATAGTAATGAGAGCCCAATGACAGACATAGCAACCGATGCAACCAAACAGATATAAATTGCTGGTAACTAAACATAAGCCACTGTTCCCTAATACAGCAAAACCCATACGATTATGTGCTTCATATTAGTTATGATATATGCGTTCACTCACTGATCACTCAATATTATATAAGTATTCACTTTTTTCTTCATAAAAACATTACCACTCCTTACATACCATAACAGTATTTATATAACTTTCTATTACTTATAATTGATATTTAAAGTCATTGAAAAAGCGATTACTGGCAACAAAATGACAACATATCTATCAATTGTGGGACTATTATCACAACTAACATCACAACATCAGCCCATTGGCCACATAAGGCTATTCAGTAGACAATTCCCCAAACAATACACAATATATATATAAATAAATATATCTCTTATGTAAAGCCTCTTTCTGTTTAGTTTTATGACTAAAGCTTTTGTTAGGAATGAAATGTAGAAAAATGAATGCATTGTTTGAATCCTAGACATGAATTTTGAAAATTTTTCACAATTTGTTTAAATCAAAATTAATTGATATTTTCTCTTTGAAACTCGAAATGTTTTACTAATAAAATATTTGCAAACAAAATAATTAAAATTCTTTGTGTTTTCTATTTTTGTCTAATACTGTAATTAAAGTTTATAATTGTTTGCAAATTCTTTCAGCACTTTTCACATAACTTTAACAAGAATTCATGACTTCAACAGACATTTGAAACTTGTGCCCAAAATATAGCCATTTTTAGACCACGAATCATATTTATTGAATGTAAATATTAAGAGATAATAAATAATAGATAGTCTATTCGTAAGTATATACTGGCAACAAAATGACAACATATCTATCAATTGTGGGACTATTATCACAACTAACATCACAACATCAGCCCATTGGCCACATAAGGCTATTCAGTAGACAATTCCCCAAACAATACACAATATATAAATAAATATATCTCTCATGTAAAGCCTCTTTCTGTTTAGTTTTATGACTAAAGCTTTTGTTAGGAATGAAATGTAGAAAAATGAATGCATTGTTTCAATCCTAGACATGAATTTTGAAAATTTTTCACAATTTGTTTAAATCAAAATTAATTGATATTTTCTCTTTTAAACTCGAAATGTTTTACTAATAAAATATTTGCAAACAAAATAATTAAAATTCTTTGTGTTTTCTATTTTTGTCTAATACTGTAATTAAAGTTGATAATTGTTTGCAAATTCTTTCAGCACTTTTCACATAACTTTAACAATAATTCATGACTTCAACAGACATTTGAAACTTGTGCCCAAAATATAGCCATTTTTAGACCACGAATCATATTTATTGAATGTAAATATTAAGAGATAATAAATAATAGATAGTCTATTCGTAAGTATAATATAATATCATGACTTCCAATGCATTACAAAAAAGTAAGATATGGTCTAAAAAGAGATATAAAAAGAAATTAAATTGATTTCTATTGACTGATTGAAAATTTTTGGGAATATTTGATAGTTTTGGTACAAATCGAGTCGTGTAATGGAATTTCAAGCATAGAGTGGAGTATTGTATACACAGAATATACACGAATAATAACGTTATATATTTGTCTTACTTTTTTAGAGTTAAGTCATGCTCTCATGATTTATGTCTTGTGTTGACATTTTATAAATTGAAAATTTTACATAAGATATACAAACAGTATGCTAGTATTTGTTTTTGTCAGCGTTTTATTTAATTAAAACTCCACTCGGTAGTGTATTATTATTGCATAAAATCTCAATGTTTTTATCAAATATTTATTTTCTCATTACATTCTATACTAAACCTATTAAACAGTATAAGTTTTGCTAAATTAGTCATATAAAGGATATTATCTTATTTTCTTTAGACTCTATTAGCATTTTCTAAATTATTCATTATTTTTATATTAATTTTAAAAATTCAAAACTCTTTTTAATAATTAAACATTTATATAATGAATGATTTTAATCAAAATATCATAGTACTGTACAGTATATTTAAAATTCTATTATCTAACAGTTTTCATCAATAAATAATACAAAGTTTTGTTTTTATATTCCAAATAATTAAATTGATTTTTATTAGTAAATTTTACATCAATTTACAAAATAAATATTTATAATGTACTAATGATATTTATTTATACATTTACTTACAATAACATCAATAAAGCTTGAATATAAATATTTTTTATATAAATAATGATAATAATAAATTTCTGTATTTTATATAAAGATGTTTGAGTACAATAACCGCACACATTAGGTTTGAACAAATTCTTGAAATTCTTATATTTTATTATAAAAAGTGATGAATAAATTAGTATTTGTTTGTCAATACATTATTTTTTAGGTTATAGAAAATATTGCACACAATGGGAATATTCCTGATACTGAATATAGCCATACATTCCATATATCATATAAAGTGTCCTTTTACTTAAAACATATAAATATATTAATCAAAAAATGATATAAAAAATGTTTTCAGTTTTTGTCCTATCGTTACGTTAGAAGTGAATTACTTATATATGTTATAAGTTTTCATACTATAAGTGCTTTCATATAAATTTATTTATATCATATTTATTTAATATGACAAAAAAAAGTCTTCCCGTTTTTTGCTTAATATATTATAGAATAATATTGTTGTCGTTATTCTGTGTATGACTCACAAAGAATTTATTATCACTTAATTTATGTTTCACTTTAATTGTAGGAAATATTTTTCAATACAATAGGCAGAGAGAGAGAGAGAGAGAGAGAGAGAGAGAGAGAGAGCGGAATTTCTTTTGACAATATGACCCACCATTAAAGACAAATTATTTGCTGTCTCTCTCTCTCTCTCTCTCTCTCTCTCTCCTTCTCCCTACCCGTCCCTTAACTTCCATTCCTTTTACTACAGATTGTAATTGATTTTGTATTTGGAATTCTCGACTGATTTGTGATATGAGAGCAATGTTTTTATTTGTCAAATATATTTATTGTATGAAACTTTTGAACAATAATTTATATACCATTTCTATAGCAGTATATGTCTAGAAAAGTTTCTTTTTTACCTCAATTGAAGCGTTTTAAGCATTATATAAATTGAATATTTGGAAATCTTTGACTTATATTCTGTCTTATAATTCATTTGATTGCCGTTCACATCATTACCGATAAATATTTTCCTTCACATCTATTCTGATTCAGTATTTTGGAAACCAAGTAAATGTTTGTCACAGAAATAACTGAATTTCATCAACATTATCAAAAAAGTTTTCAAAAACTTATTGTAAAAACAATTCATTTGATATTTTTTTGTTGAACTGTTTCAATGGGAAATTTTAAATCTGAATCTATATGAAACAAATTATAACTTACTTGTTAAATTAATTTGTCAATAATATAACACATTTTTTGAAATTTATATATTTATAAATTAACTTTATTGTGAGGTCTTATTTATAACACCAATTGATAACATAATTTGTTAAACAATTCATACAATATTTAAACAATTTCAAAAGTTTTGTTATTCATAGTTAAGGTTGTATTTATTGTTCATTATCGTAAATAACATTTATTATTTGTATTTATATAGGAAAATAATATAAATATCAAATGAGATCATTTAATTTGATTTGTTAGATATAGTGTTTATATAAATTATTTTATAAGAAAATGAAAAACAATAATGAAAATGAAAAACAATAATGAAAATGAAAAACAACTCAATTTATAGTCACGAATGAATGTAAATGTTTTATGCAATCGATTACTGTATTATACAAAAGACTTAATATTCAAATATTTCATTAATAAATTAAATCACAGGAAATGATGTGTATTTTCACGAAATTTATGAAAATAACAAAATTTACATAAAAAGAAGTCAATTTCCAAATTGTTAGTGTTAAGTATTAATAACATAATGTCAAACCAAGTTTATATGCAAATATATTATAATGATTCATAATAATTTTCAAATTAATATATTATATAATATTTATACAAAGAAAATGTAAGAATTGTTTGAATAAATGAATGACTTTAGGCTTTGTTAGTGAACTCAATATATAATATAATATGAAAATTAATTCCGACCGAAATGCTGAGCGACTGAACATTACTTAATGTTAATCTCAATAAGAAATATTGATAGCACTGATAGCACCCAACAAAAGCTCATTTCTCAATAACAGGTCCACAGTTTACCGATAAGATAGTGTATAACTTGACTATTATTACGACACAAAGTAATACTAAATATATAGAGGGGAACGGGAGTTGGTATACGCGATACACTATTGTCTTACAGTTTGTCTCCACTATAACCGACTTAAACCCTCTCTTTCTCAGAGTCTCACAGCAAAAGTAATCAATAAAAGGCACTTTTCGACAGCTAAAGCAAAAATAAGTCATTTTCTTTGCCATCTTTTTTACGCCAATTGGACACATCTCTGCCTATTCTCTTCATTACTATATCTTTGCTTTAGTTACCGCTCTATTCAGTCATTCATTCATTCATTTTGTTTTCTTTCACTTCTTTTTATTTACAACTTCTCTGACTCTTTTGATCCATTTATTCACAAATAGAAGACAACGGCAATCATTTGAGCAATTATTTTGATAAAACACCACAAGAAGAGAGAGATGCAAGTCATGAAGAATAGGCTGTGATTGCGATTCACTCACTCTCTCCCTCTCTCTCTCACACACAACTGGTTGTGTAAACTTTGTCCACACTTTTTGTACACAGAATGTCATATCAGTTGATTAGAAGACGTTGTTGTGATAGTGGGGCACAAATGAGCGGGTGATCTCCAATGGCATACCATTCATGCTGCCATTGTCCGTGTACTGGATCTGATGGCATTCATGTAGGGACCGGAAGTTCAATTCACTGCCCAAACGCGGGTATTCGCCGTAATCGACATAATCGGGCTCATGTTGATTGTATCGACTATTGTTTGAACTATGGTTTGATTGACTGAGCCGTAGGCGACGTTTATCTTGAAATCTATAGATTGTTATCACAATTAAGATAACCAGAAGACTAAAGATGAGCAGTAGTCCGATGGCCACCACATATAGAGTGGGAAACTTATGACAGAACTGACTGTTTTCATCATAACTAGACGGACAGTGACTGATGCCATCGCACACCAGCTCATCGCTAATACAGGCGTTGATCTCCGGGCACTCGACTTTGCAGTTAATGTTTCTCATTGTCTTTCCCGTCTGAGTCCTCAGGAAAGGTTTGGTCACTTCAAGCCATCGCATACTAAACGCTCCCAACTCTTGCGCTATTATCTCAACGAATACTCGGCTCTCGAAGTAATTATTATAGATATTGTTAGCCGTGAATGTGGCGAAAGTGTCCGTTTCGTTATACCAAGACGTCGAGAATAAATCAAATTCTTCTAATTGATTAGCATGATCTAGATCATTAGCTGCGGCTGTGCTTTTGGTGCAAACCGTGGCGATCGCATGCCGAGGATCGCCCGCGTATACAACGAATCGATTTGCATCCAAACACTCATCGCTTCTGTATTGTATGGATATATATATGAAATTCATAAATAATTGTCAAAATAAATCATTGCAAAACAAATAGTGTTCAATCGTATAATATTTCAATGAATTGGTGGCAGAAAAATGGCTAAACTATGGATATAAGCATAAACGAGTCTTATGGTATAAATCGCAAGCATTTGTTTTGTAGCTCTAGAGTAAAAATTTGAAACAAAATTCCTCTTTTATATATTATAAATAAAACGTTAAAAAATAGTTTTTATATGATTTAAAAGGACAACAAAAAGCAATATAACACTTAAACTCGTGTTTTGACGTTTAAATCAATACAATGGGAAAGAGAGAAAACAATTTAGGAAACGATTGTTTAATAAATGATTGGAGAGTGGGCTGTGAAAAGTGAGAACTCACTCAGAGATGGCTAAATGGCCTTTAAATTTGAGGAACAAATGTTTGCCAAACGACGCCTCTATAATCCATCTGCACTTAAGGGGTCCGTCACGTCTGAAATTATAAGTTTGAGGCACAGAATACTGAATCTCCCCTTCGCTACCGTTCCGCCTCTGAACCAAACCCCCGGAATTACAGTCAAATGCCGGCACAAACTCGAAGGAGGCGTCAAAGCCGTAGTCATTAAAGTCCTCGAAGGGAGACATTCGCGTGACTGAGAAGTTGAGGACAACGTCTGATGAGATCATATCAAACACCATATTGTGGTTCATGTGCTTTGGATCTGTTGTAGCGTCTGGTGGTGAGTGGGTCTGACTTTGAAGCATAATATTGCAAAGACAGCCAACTTTGATGCGCTGGGAGGACATGCTGTCCAACACAGTGAGAAGAGCCACTTTCGGGCTGTTGTTGTTGTTGTGAAAGACACGGCACTCATACTGATTAGTCAACGGATCAAAAACCTGTTCACAAGACAACGATTGCATGCGAATCGCGTGGAAAACAATTCGCACCCTTTGGCTGTCTGTCCCTTTGAGGTAATAACTGCACGATATGTTCTCCCGACCCCCTCTACCGTATAGAAACAAATTTCGAGGCGAACTCAGTCTCCCCTTAAAGTATTTGCCATCACTTTTGAAGAGTCGATCGCAGAGTTTGTCATCGATTTGTTCGCCGACCTGATGGGTGTCTATGAACTCAAATCGTGCGGCAAATGAGGCGCGTCTCACATAAAAGTCGTAGTGTTTGTAATACTCCTGTTTAATGATCAGTTCAGAGCCGCCGGATAAGTAGCTCTCATTAGGATATGTACACGGATTTAGTGGCAGATAATGGTTGGCGTCGGCGGCCCGGCCGCAGATCTTTGGCGAAGTTTTCTCACAAAAACTGTATAATTTGTGCTTTTGTTGGCTGTGATGGACTTGTCTGGAGTCGTTGGTGGGATGGGATGTAAGCACGGAGTCGTATATCTCAAGTCTGCTCACATCGCACAGCTCTTCGCTGGACCAGTGATGTCGGTCTTGAATGAAGTACGACATGAAGTAAATCCAAATGCGATCCCAACTGTTGGGCGAAACAAATCTAAAAGTGCACGAAGTGTTGGCCGGTATGGAGTGCTTCGGCGTCTCAATGAGTCCGCGTCTCATCTTCGAGCCGTCGTAAACCAGATCACAGACACCGGTGCGCTCACCCCCTATGGCCGAGTCGTGAACCTTCTCTAACTTGAGCGCTACGTTCAGCTCCAGTCGCGAGTTGTATAGGATTTGATTGGAGGCACTCCTCAACACAATCAACATTTCCGGACGACTCGACACAATGGGAGGCAATACTCCCGAACCGCAGAACTCTATGAGTACTGGAGATTCGGTTGTCTGGCCGTCATATATGCGAACCATATCTAATGGACAGTCAGATTGGAGTGATGTTGAGGTCGAGTGATCGCCGGATGCCGTGTTAGTGGACCCGCTGTACAAAGAGATCTTGTATTCGTTGTTCTGTTTTTTGATAGAAATTTATGTTTTATTATTCATCAGAAATGCAATTTCAGAGCATATGGAGTATAAGAGCATATGGAGTATAAGAGTGTCACACCTGTGAGACCACTATTCTGGCCCTATGTCCGGCAGGAACTGGAGAGTAATGTCTTATCCAATATTTACACGTAATATTCCTATTATAGAAGCCAGGCCAATTAGGACTTCGGATTTTGCACTTTTTATTGGCCGAACAGTCATCGAATACATGATCACAATATGTGGCATCGATTTTAGTCCCCAACTCGAAGGGATCGCCTGTTTTTCACATAATATGAACATTAAGTTTTATATATAAAATATATTATGCGAACAAATCATCAATTTTTGATATTTCAATAACATTAGTGTCAGGCTCTGCAACAGTTCACTCGCTACTGATCTGTTTGACTACTGTTCCCATTACTATATAACGGCAATAAATGTGACTTTCAGTTCAGTATTAATGTATTGTTTCCCATTTCAATGATTTGAAAGTTTTTCGAAACATTTTCTATTTTATAAATAATCCTCGAGTTATGAATCATAAAACAAACTCAAACAACAAAAATTAAATAAGATTCAGTACTGTATTTCAAATATAGTATTGACCTAAAAAAGTATGATTAATATATGATATGACATGGACTTACTCGGGGGTCCGAAGCGTGTGATAGCGGGCCGGGAGGGCAGGAATTTGTAGGTCAGAAACAGACTGAACGAATGGACGACAACTGACGCCCGACTCGGCACGAAGATTATGAGACTCACGTTATTTCGTTCACTAAAATAGGTTGCGCTCCGCACCTAAACAAACCATCAATTGTTAAGACACCACACAATAGACCACTAAATATATCCTCCATNTGGGATGAAATGGTTGTGTCATTCTGTTCCTCTATTATCACATGACCTGAATAACAGCCGGCGCTTTGGTTTCTAATCAAATCAAAATTGAATCAAATAATAGAAAACAAATGATTATTATTTTTATATATGGTATTGATTGATATTGTATAACATTTATAGATAAAACAACACACAACACATAATTCAATTTTCATCGCATTTAATCAATAAAACAGTTTTTTCTTATTTCAGATGTTTTTATGGTTTTATATGTTTTTATTTTATCGCCAAAATCAATTAAAGGTTAGACAAAAAAATTAATTTTTCAAATCCTTAGGCTTTGGTGTAAATCTTGTTTAAAGAGGCCTTCTTATAAGTTTTGTCTGAAATTCTGTTATCTCTATAAATATCTCAATTCCTTCACATCGAGAGACAAAACAAAAATAAAATGAAAGAAGAAATTAAAGCAGACATACATTTATAGCACTTGAGCTACTCTTTCATATAAACTTCACTTTATATCTCACATTCCCTTACATTTCATTCCTATACTCAAAACGAATAGCATTTCACGAAATTCTTTGCAAAAATAGAAATAAATTTTAAATCCATTGAATTGTCAAATATATGTATAAAACATATCATTGAATGTAAATCTTGTGTGAAAAAGGTTCTCAAAAAATAATATTTGTATTATATTTTTGATGCAAATTGAATTGTAGAGTAAATTCAAGTTTTATAAATTCTGCAAATATCCCATAATAGGTGTGAATCGATTGGCAATCTTACTGTCGATCCACATATTGTATGCAAACTCAGAATAATTGTCACTTAGATTACAGTTTGATATTTTCACTTATCATGAAGATTTTTAATCAATAACAAAATCTAAATTTATATTCTTACTTTATCAAATGCTATTGAAAATGAATTATTTACACAAAAATAAATTTACTAATATTCCTAGTACGGTAGTAATAATAAAACTAACCAGAAAATTTTATTCAATAAGAAATATTTTCAAAATTAAATCAATTTATCTTTTTCAAGCCTCTCATGTAATACTGTTTTGTGAGTTTTGAAGATTGAAATGAGTATAATAGAAATGATGATCAGAAAGGTTTAGCAATGAACTCATTGCAACCTAAAATAAATGAGATTCAATGCATTTATTGTGTGTTTGATATAATCACAAACGGATTAATTGCATCTGAGTTTAGCGACAATTCCTTACATGCGATGGCTTTTGTCATTCGTTACACCAGTTTCTGGACAAACACTGCAAACACAGGCAATCAATTAAATATTGACTCAAATTCAGTTACAACTAAACTAAACTACGGTATCGTACAGTGGAGTACACTGGCTATAGTTTACATTACAGACTAGAGTCTGAACTAATCCGCAAATTTGTTCACACCATAATTGCATTCCGATGTCTGATTAATTTTTCATGAAATATATGTTATTAACCCAATTAACCATTTAGACAATTGTCACTTTTTCATTCAAATGTGACTATAATTAAATTGCTTTATAATTTAATAATTAGAATATTTAGAAAATTAATAATATTTTAGCAAAATTGCTTATAATTTGGTTTGTAAATAATTAATATAATTATTTATTAAAGCATTTAGCGTTGGAATATAAAAGAGAGTATAAAAACTGTGGGCAATAATAACATTAAATATTTATCATTTGCTTTAAGAAATT